CGTTGAGCCATTGAAGTTGAATTTCAGTCTTGCTAGATTGCATGACACTTCGCTCAGGCCCTCCTACTCCTAATAATCACGTGGACGCGCGAGTGCCAACACAATCATGTACATGACTATACCACGGCAAGGCACAGCCAACAGTGGTCTGAATCAGTGAAGGACTGACACTTCTATCAAGGCTAGTGGTACAATCATGAGCCATGACAATGGGATACAACTATGGTTGAGAAGTACACTTCAGACCATCCCCTGTGTTATCACGTCTTACCAGGTTCTGGTGGTATCGATGCTGGACATTGTGCAGTTTTGCAATATCGAGATCATCGCTCCATAATTTCTTCCGTCCAAGGCTGTTCAGTGGGTACAGCCACAGTCTGTATCACCACTACCGTTAATTCAGCCTAGGCGGTGTACGGTCATGATTGTGTCAAGATACCAGAGGAATATTTATCATCCTGGAAGTAGGTTTCTCTCTCTCTCTCTCTCTCTCGCTCTCTCTCTCTCTCTCTCTCTCTCTCTCTCTCTCTCTCTCTCTCTCTCTCTCTCTCTCCTCTCTCTCTCTCTCTCTCTCTCTCTCTCTCTCTCTCTCTCTCTCTCTCTCTCTCTCTCTCTCTCTCTCTCTCTCTCTCTCTCTCTCTCCTTCTCTCTTCGACTTTGCGTAGCTCTAGCAATGAAGCCGAATTCATCAGTCGAGCTTGGTCTGCCCTCTTGCACAGTCACCTTGTGTGTGCGTATCATTACCGGTAGTCGTTCTCTTTGTATTTACCCAATTTTCCTGGCAAATGACTGCCAATGACAGCTGAATATGAAATGAAGCTCCTCTGCTTCCTTTCCTTCGTAATCCATTGTTGTGTTTTAAGTAAATAAAATGATGATCAACAGCTTACCTAATGGTATCTGCACAGCACATCATGTCAGTTAACTACTTCAAGTAGGAAGCCAATAATAATTGTTTCTCTGTTCTAAAAAGTATTCATTTGCCTTGGAGAACCCCAGACAAGACCCTCAGAGCCAAACGAAAAATGCAGGTGATAGAATATGTTTCTCAATGCACCTAGATGTACTTCGAAGTGCGTGCTTGCGAATTTTGGAGCGTGTTTCGCACTTTCAAGGCGCTTCTAGTATACCAACTCTATGAACATTGTAGATGCTGCTGGGCAGCATTCTTGCCATTGCGCCGAAAATGATCGATAAGGTCGAGGTAAGCAGAAGACTGTAGTGTATGACAAAATACTGTGGTATAACATTTGTTATGGTGAAAAACTGCAATACATGTACAGAGTGAGACATGTACAGAGTGAGACATGTACAGAGTGAGACATGTACAGAGTGAGACATGTACAGAGTGAGACATGTACAGAGTGAGACATGTACAGAGTGAGACATGTACAGAGTGAGACATGTACAGAGTGAGACAGTCTTTTGAGATGCTCTATAGTACTGTAGTAGCAAACCAGTGCCACCAGAGAATTGTCCTGGCTAATCTGGTGTTTGCCTAGCTCTCCTGCAATGCTGCATGCTCGCAAACACTCATACAATTTGTGAATGAAATCGCTGCTAACGTTAGAATGCATCATGTACGCACCAGAGCACTCTGACATATTTACATCACTAAAACGTGCAGACATCGTTGAGTAACCTTCAGTCACGTGCAGTGCGTAACTGACATCGCCTGCTTTGACATTGGCAGTGGTGATTCCATTGAGAACTCGAGCGGAGGCGGAGCTTCGATTTTCGAATTGAATGGTCCGGTTCAAAATTGAAGAAGGTCGGAGACTCTTGTCTTAGGCTGACGCCGTCACGTCCATTGTGCACCTAAATCTAAGCTCTGCCTGTTGCTAGCATGCTGTCATGATCACAGCGCTACACTACAGCAGAGGGTCATGATCAAAACGTGAAGCAACACTGAGTTGACAGGTGACGTGTCTGCTGCATCTGCATCAATGACCTGCAGAGTCCATCGTGGAACGTCTTTACGTGATTATCAATTTGGCATTGTGATCTGTGTCTGCGCTTTCCCCTGCACAAACCTACCGCGGTACATCTGTACATGGAGAGCCTCGATGTACATGTACGGCGAGTGCATAACGCCATTAGCCTTGCACAATGGTTGACTTCGTACTGTAGCTGCGCCGTCAGATGGCCATGAAAAGATCATGATCTGCTTGGTGCCATTATAGGACTGCTATTGAACACAGCGCGATACGCGAGGTGGCAGTTTTGACAACGGCATATGCACACTGCCCTCATGATGTCTCTTGTCCTTGCCAAACAATTCTTCTTTGCTCGTTGACATTTTCAATGTGGGTTGAGCGTGAATGACTGACCTCTTGCCAATCTCTCCATCTTGATCGTTTCATGTACATGTCCGTGTCAAGTCCTAAAAAGACTCGACACGTACAAATGTACCCTTGTGTACACAGTGTACGCAAGGAGCAGAACAGGCAAGTTTTGGTTCCTTCTCGTCCAGTACATTTAGGCAGTTACTTTCCCAGAGGATGTGTCTCTGGGGAGTATGGCAACCTGATCGCCTACGCAGTTTTCAGATTTCAGATCACGAACGTGCAAATCGTGTCCAGTCATTCCTGAATAGACCTAGATACTGTCAGCATATTGCTATTGAACTCTTCTGCATGATTTAGATGTATCTAGTGGGGCTTTCGTTTAGTATTCGTACATGATACTCCGTTCACGATCTATACCCAAATCCATGGGCGGGACAGTATAAAAGGCAAAGAGTTCGAGAAGTCAAAGCAGAATTCCCCTCCACTCCTCTTCCTGTGCTTCGGTTCTCGACTCTAAGAAACCTTTCTTCCAAATAATACGAATACTCTTGCCTTAGGTAGAGAAGTTGCGCAACGTTTCCACTGCTGTAATCATGAAGATATCGTCGGTAGCTAGTCTAGTTGTGCTGTTGGTTGTTGTGTTTGGACACAGTGCTCTTGCTGTATGTTCGGGTAGTGACTGTGTTAATCATGAGCTAGGCTCCCAATCCCAGTGTACGGAGGTTACACGTAGAAGAACTAGCGATTGCAGATGGGTAGCTGGACTGGATACCAACGCAGACTACATTATCGAGGGTGGCGATATCGTGGCTTATCAGATCCAGTGGTTCAGCGGTGCTTGGTCCGGCTGGTTTGTCACAGGCGTTAACGACATCGACTGGAAGTACAACACAGTACAACGTTCGTGCGCTGTGCCGTACCTGGCCAACCACATGCGTCGCGTCTGGAGCTACTTCTTCGATCACACACACAAGTACATCATCTGCAAGCATCGCAGCGACTACAATGGACCCAAGGCACCGTGCGACAGCTGCCCAAGGTTCGTGTATCCGGCATTGAAGCGACCCGCGGCACCTTCTCTCGACGCTGAGCCATAAAGAAACAACCTGGTCTATTGAAGGAGTCTAGTGAAGGAGTCCGTATAACAAGAAGTGTTATATTCTATCTGCATCATCGCATCTCTAGCTGAAGTCTATTATCTCGTCTCATGTTATGCATACAAACCATGTATCCTTTACCTCGCTGGTAGTTCAATTTGATACCTATGATGAGTATCTGCTGTGACCAGTTTGCTGGCTACTTTTGCGCCCGAGTTTATTTCAATCTCCTTCATCACCTTGCACCAGTGTCTCATCCTATCATTACTGAGTCATTCACCGAAACGTAGTCATTGCTAGAATTGTTCTCCACATCACTGCCTTACAGACATTCTCACCTTTAGAGCACACGGCAACCTTCACTGTACCATACTTTCTTATGCTTTTTCTGACTCTTGTCTTTATTGTGCTGTAGCAACACCAGTTGTGATCACGCATGTACATGTATGCATCCAGTTATTTACATGTATACACTTATATGTCCTTTTCTCTTCTACATTTATTTATGGCTCAACATCCGAGTTTCAAATATACACTTTTTGTCAACGATTTCTCACACTGATAATTATTATGACAAGGTCGTATTGGACAATAAGCAGGTGTTATAGCAAAGACTCATTTCGATCGTTGTGAGTGATTTAAGCAGTGGGATAGCACTTTTCAGGTGGCTATGAGTATGAGTGTGCCGGCACACCAGGGGATGTGGCGGGGCCCTGGGGCCCCACGCACAAAACCCCTACACTGACCGTACATGTATCATTGTATGTGAATGTGTGCACTGGAGATAAGTAAAAGTACTCTTTGTGCTGGGACTACCCTGGCCCGGGATGATTGCACCATCTCATAATAACAAGAGTATAATTTTGTATTAACTTTATGGAGTACATGTACTCTTTGCAATTTCAAGTGGCCTCTAATTTCCTACAACATGTACTCTTGATAATAAAAAATGCAACCTCAGCTCAAGTTGATAGCCAAGGCCTCGAGCCCGCTGATGCGAGGTGAACAAGGGCCGCAGTATGTACATACTGGTATGTACATGACTGATATCATCAGTTCCTATCATACCCTGGTTTCTCATCATTGTGTTGCTTTTGCCCGTAAAAGAGGCTGTTCAAGACACGTGAAAAAAACAAACACAAAACATGCCTGATTGTACTCTTGCTCATATTGAACAGTGCTTGAACAGTGCTTCGGGAAGTTCCTCAAGCAAAGCATTAACATGCATATCATTGGGCCTAGTTCCCGTTTAGAAAACTGTCTATTTAAAGACGACCGCTCAAGGGACGTTCAAAATGTGGTCTCTGTTACCAGGTGGTCTCCTTATCCAGGGCCATTTGACTGGAAAATGGCTGGCCTTGGTCCTGTTTTCAGTTGTCTTTTAGGACAGGTGGTCGCTTTGACAGGTTATCTGTTTATACTGTACCACGATGATACCGATTTTACGTTGTACAGAGTATTTGGCTTGTATGAAGTCTTCATCATACCCAACTGAACATTCATCATACCCAACTGAACATTCATCATACCCAACTGAACATTCATCATACCCAACTGAACATCCATGTACATGTACAGCAAAGCAAACAACGTGAGAGCGAAAGGAGACCGTGTTAGCAACAGCACAATGTCTGGAGTCTTCGAGCCTTTAAAGTATATTTAGCGTCGCACCACACCCAGGCGATTTCGCCTCTTTGAAACATGTGAACGACAGAGAGAGAGAGAGAGAGAGAGAGAGAGAGAGAGAGAGAGAGAGAGAGAGAGAGAGAGAGAGAGAGAGAGAGAGAGAGAGAGAGAGAGAGAGAAAAGAATAATAGATGATGGCAAATGGACCTCATGGCTATGCAAAATAAATTCAAAATAGCTTCGTAATGTGTGCTTGGTGATGACAGCACATCTTATTCACAGCTTTGATATAGAACAGCTTCGAATAATATAATAATTATTGCTGAACACGGACTGTGTACAGTGTTAGCAATAATATTAATATACACTCCTTGAATTTTTAGGTATAGCTTGAGTGCCAGATGATCAGACAAAACAAAAAAACAAGTTTAAAGAAAAGGCTATTAGCCGAGGAAAGGGTAGGTGTACGTGCATACCCTTACGATTGAGTCCCTTGAAAAAGGTCCCTGCCTTGATTTGCAAGCCAGATCTGGCAATACTCATACAGTCTCCAGATAAAAAGAAGACAGCCCTGCATTAGGACTCCAGCAACGTTGTATACGTTCGATGGCTGGCAGCACGAAGCTAGCATGTAGCCGGGTAGTCACGTGACGCGGGCACGGGCGTACCAACCTCGTGACTATAGGTGCTGACGGGGGGTGCGGATCCGAAAATGGGGAATGGGTTGACGAGCATAGTGGTGACGGTGACCGTAGGCTGGTTTGCTGCCAGCGGACGGGTGACGACGATGTGGAACGAACCAGGGCAGGTGAGTGTGGGAGCGGTGAATTCCAGGGTGGCCTTGACAGACGGAGTGTCCACCATCACAAGGCTGCTGCTGGCATAGGAATCGGTCCATGCGCCACACTGGGGAGCTGAGCCATCAGCAACAAACACACATACTACGTGTTGACCCAGAGGGGTACCGTGAGCAGCCACAAGCAACGATGAGTTTGTTCCACCGGACGGCAACAGAACCATGGATGCTCTGACGGGATAGATCGAAACAGGGTCTAAAACAGAAAATACATGCAACAGAAAAACAGCAAAAGTAAGGCATCAAGAGTAACATGATCACGTGAGTATGTGCATGTGTAGGCAGGCATAGTGGGATGATTGAGAAACAGAGGGTACCAGGTTCAAGCCTTGCTTGGAAGCGGAAGGAATTTTTCCAGCCGTGCTGCGACCCACAGTTAATTGGGAACTCGTGGCCTGGCACGAGGGTAACATGGATGCAGCTAATGGGATTTCGGTCTTTGACCACTTGGTGACGGGTCTGATCTACTCACCTCCCACCGTTTAGGCGCTGCATCTGCGCCTTGATCCTAGAGGGTGGTGGCGTTCCTGCGGAAAACTCGGCTTCCAGCCGAGTCTCACGCGAACCGTGAAATTTATTTATGCTTGAGACGGAAGATTCATGCACAAAATAGTGCTGGAAAAAGGCCTAGGCGAAGCCAAGATTATACATGTATGTTGATGTCCAGGCTCTGTTCAATATATGTACATTAATCACGTGATACATGTATGTTACTGCTACAGTAAAACCTGTAACTAACGACCAGCCTGCTACTGTACTACCTACAAACCTCTAACTAAAGCCGACCTGCTACGGGCGGCCGCTTTTTCTGGCCCCAAGGGGTGGTCGTTAGATACAGGTGTTATTGGACGGCAATGCAATCGTATACTCACAACCCTGGGCGATTTTGATTTGAGCGGTAGCAGTGCCAAGCGGACTACGGGCAGTACAGGTCTGAACTAGACCGGTGTCATAGCGAGTGATATGCTTTGAGGCTGTGTTGAGAGGGCTGATGGTTACCTGAATAGCAACACGCAACAGACCAGGTCAAAGTGAGCTAAGCACACCAGTGTGTAGTACATACACATACCACTAGATACACGCCATCGATAAACAATATGGCCAACGTGCGGCCATCAGGATAAAGTGGGCAAATGGGAAATCAGACAATCCTGCACGGGCAGAATGTATAGATTTCTCAATATTTGGTGAATTTATCATCCTGTATACTAGTGATGCTGTGGATAAGAAGACGAGTCTCCGTTTCTCTAATGCATCACCCTTTACTGGCCTTTAGTCAAGAGTTTAGTATACCGGTAACTTCTCAATGTACTCGCTTCCTTTTGCATTAGCATTAAAACATGGACATGAGCATGACAGGTTTATCTCTAAATGTGCAGTGTTCCGGAAGAGGTTTGGGGATATTTCGTTTCCTGTATGACAGCCTGACGAGCCTGACGAACATACACAAGTATAAAACTGTACTACTATGGTAGAAAGTGAAATCCAACAAATGCAACAGTGCCTGCACTTTCACTGCTGTCTGCTATATGAGAGGATGGAACAAACTTTGCATCCGGATGCCGTTCCGAATTTTAATGTTGCAGAAGGAGGTGGGCACACACAGGAATATAGCCAAGGTAAAGTTGGTACGCACTGTGTCAGCACACAAGACATAAAGAATAGCGTGCGTGCACTCAATCGACATTCTCGGACTAACCACGACTGATCCGCTGGAAGGCTGATAGGCTGCGACGCAGGTGAGGTGAAACACAACTGACAGGGTGGCCGGTGGGATAAATGCGGTCATCTGACCATTGATGGTTTGACGGACCGTAAGGTCAGAGGAGGTGAAAGTTGGTGGCGTCACTACAGACCAACACGGACAAGAACAAAGAAAATTAATTCAAAACACCAACAAGAACAGTTACAATACGCCTGTGTGGATTCACTGAACGCGTGAGTTAAGAAGGCTGAAGAAAATGTTGAATGGTCTCAGCTGGGTTGACAGGTACACCATAGCTCAGTGGTTAGAGCAGACCTAGCTAGCCTCAAGCGAAGGTACCTGTACCTGGTTTGAGTCCTGGTGGCGACAGTCAATTGCTTCCCAGACTTTCCCCTTTTGCATATCTCTCAAACCAGTGAATAGTCCCATACAATAGCTGTCATGTATTTGTACATGAACTACATGTCACCGAGATGTAACTTCGCAAGTGTGCACAAAGTATCCCACAGTGACAACTGACCTACATATTATAATACATACGAACAAGATACAGAAATGCAAACGAACTGCAGAAAGGGTATCCCCAATCCCAACCGGGGTATCCCCCAACCCCAACCGGGGTGATGACAACCGTATAGCCTGTGGTTGTCACTCTCTGCTAAGAACCGAAATGTAGCTGTCTCACATCTCTCATTTAAGAATTGCCACCTTACAACTTCCCATGGGAACTCCCTTCATTTTCGACTATATCCTTATAAAAGTATAGAGGACAGAGATAGAGAGAGGATAGTCATATTATCATATAAACAACAGGCCCAAGCTGAACGTCCTCCGCTGCCATAAACAACAGGCCCTGTAGAAAACTAAGCGAAGAAAGCTTGGTGTCACTACATTCGATGGTCGATACCGAAGTCCGGGAGGGTGTGCAATGCAAGAGATGTTTACGACTAAAACCATGCTCTGGTACTTGCCTTTGCACACAGATGACACAAACTGCGCTTGAGTCATTCCGGAGGGGAAAACCCATTTTCCATCGCCCATGCAGGAAACGTTGGCCGTCACCTCGAAGCCGGGCTGGCAAGTTGGCGTGACGAGGTGATTGGTAGAAAAGGCCATGCGAGCTGGTTTGGTGGTATCCGGTACTGATCCGTGGTTGACGTCGAATCCAGGGCAAATTCCTGGAGGAAAACAGAAAATTCAGGAATAACTCATCTCAGGAAACAGAAACACTAAAACACCCTGTAGATCGATATCTGAAGTGTACAGATCATCTATGAAACTTACACGAGCGGGGGAATCGTATCGAAATGTTACATAGAGAGAATCAGAGAGAGAGAGAGAGAGAGAGAATCAGAGAGAGAGAGAGAGAGAGAGAGAGAGAGAGAGAGAGAGAGAGAGAGAGAGAGAGAGAGAGAGAGAGAGAGAGAGAGAGAGAGAGAGAGAGAGAGAGAGAGAGAGAGAGAGAGGAGAGAGAGAGAGAGAGAGAGAGAGAATGTGTAGCTCCTGTATAAAGGTTAACCTTTGAACCCCAATCCAGGTACTTGCCTCTGGCGTAGCAAACGGTGGACATAAACGTTGCTTTGTCCATCCCAGCCGGGTAAGACCAAGATCCATCGCCTGAACAAGTAGCGTTGTGGCTCACATCATAACCTAAATCGCACGTTGGCCTCACAGTGTATATGGTAGAAGAGGGCATAGCATCTGGCTTGCGGGAGTCTGGCACAGAGCCATGACTGATCTTGAAACCAGGGCAGGTTACTGTGGAAAAAGGCAGAAATGTACAGGAATAAAGCACATCAGGATATGTCAACGCGCCCCTCTGTATCACCATCTGAAGTGGAGAGGAATGAGGGAATAATCTAGAATTGCTATGAGACAGAGACAGAGACAGAGAGAGACCGAGACCGAGACAGAGACAGAGAGATAGAAAGAGAGAGAAAGAAAGAGAGAGAAAGAAAGAGAGAGAAAGAAAGAGAGAGAGAGAAAGAGAGAGAGAGAAAGAGAGAGAAAGAGAGAGAGAGAGAAAGAGAGAGAGAGAAAGAGAGAGAGAAAGAGAGAGAGAGAGAAAGAGAGAGAGAGAGAAAGAGAGAGAGAGAGAGAAAGAAAGAGAGAGAGAAAGAGAGAGAGAGAAAGAGAAATAGAGAGAGAGAGAGAGAGAGCAGACAAGGATACATAGGGTCACAGTGAAACTACATCATACAGTGCACATTATACTACCAACCCTGTGATCAAGACTGTATGTCAATCACCACGTCTTAGACACTATACTCTTGGTACACCCAGCCTAGATACTTACCTCGGACGGAACAAGCGGACGAGACGAACTGCGCTTGATCCATACCGGACGGGAAAGACCAGGATCCGTCGGCCAAACATGAAGCATTCCCCATTGCGGCGTAGCCTGACTTGCATGTTGGCTTCACGCCGTAATCCACTGACCAAGCCAATCCCGCTGTCTTTCGGCTGTCCGCAACGGAGCCAAAGTTGACGTTGAAGCCAGGACACAGCCCTGGCAGAAAACAGAAAATCGCAGAAATCAAGTACTTCAGTAATATATGCCGACATTGTGCCAGGCAGGGAGTAGTACAATGCCTACAAGGTATTGTACTACTCCGGCTCCCTGGTGCCAGGCGTGGGCCATCCTCTGATTTCATTTTTTAATTTTTTAATATAGGTGCCAAACATGTTACGCTTTTCATTCGTCTAAAAAAACACAAAAAACATACCGGTAGGGTCACCTACATGTACAGCAACTGTACTCTGCTAGCTATTTAAAAAAAGGAAGACATAATTTACTGGTGGTACAAGAAGAATAGAGAGCTTTGATAATAGAGAAGAGCTGGATGGAGTGGTGTGGACTACACACTAGCATGGGAACTACAGTCTATTTCAAAACTATAGACGCGTACCTAGGCAAAAAACGTTATGCCAGCATCTATACCACATAAAATCTGTGATCACTTTGTGCATAATTTTTTCCAAATTGGGCGTCTGTTATCCAATCGTTTAGAAACTATATGAGAGCATTGTGGAGCGGTCCTGAGCAATATTCCGAAAACCAGCCAAATTTGAAATATTTCAAAAACCCTACGCGTCTATAGTTTTGAAATGGACTGTAGTAGCAAGACTACCGTACTCTCAGATCTCGCTTGGGTCCCGCGCCATCCTGAAGAAAATCGTGTTTTTACCGATTTACAGCCTACATGTATGTCATGTATACATTATACAGTATGTGTGTTCGCTTATCCGGATACTTTTGTGGAAAACGGATGTGTGCGGATAAGCGAGGTGTGACTGTAAGAAACATAAACCTGGATATGTAGTGTTGGCAGTACTTGTACTTACTGGGGCGATCCATTACACCCTGGCGAATATCACAGCAGCCCTGAGATGGCGTTGCAAGTGCAAGGCACATGATGGCCATGATGGCCAAACGCAACTGCACAGAGAAAGAATGAGAGCAAAGGTAGCAACACAATACAGCGTCGTCATTCAGGAAAAAACTCAACAGAGTGTCGTTCAGGGTGAAAACAATAGAGGTTCTCTATCGATGTGTCGGAGTTAGAATATGATCATGATGACTACTCGATAGACCCTGCTACCATGTACCAGGCACTCTCTTGTAGTCCATAGATTTTCATGCGAGGTTAGAAAACCTCGTATGGACAGTATACAGGGTAAAAGAATTCATTGAGCTCAATCAGCACCATTGGCAGAGATTCAACACATACCGAGTCCTCGGTAGTTTTGCCTAAATATGTACATGTTCTGCAGTTGCCATAACATCCCGGGGGGGGGGGGGGGGGGTATTATGAGCTAAACAATTGAGGTCAACGGAAAGTCAAATCAAGAGGAGTCTTAGAATACTGACTGCATAGTACTGTGCATGTAAAATAAATAATTGCTGATATTCTGCTGGAGATGCCAGTGCCATAGGCATAGCAGTTAACTTTGCAGGAAAATGTAATTTGCGCACCTTAATCCTATACGTTTTACAAGATTTAGTACAGCTACACCATAGCTATAGGGTGTAGGGTGTAACTTGACGCAGGCAGATTCCAAATGCAACAGGACTGCATTGCATACATGTAAATGTTACGAGCGTGTCAACAGCCATGGCGGTTATTGTTTTCAACTCCCCCAAAGACCATTAGAATATGGTGATCAGAGAGAAGGATACTAGACTGAGGGGAAATAGATACGACATGTGAAAAGAATGCTACATCCATGACCACAGGCCAAGGCTCACAGGGCAACACAGTACAATACTATACAGGCCCGTAGCAGCCCCATTTTGATTGGTCCGGCAAGATCCGACCTCGATGGTATTTTTTAAACATTATTTTGCCGAAAATCAAGAAATTGTACACTCACTAAATACACCAGAATACCTCTTATATGCCTGGTAACCCTACCTAAAAACTATACCAAGTTGAAGAGGAGACATCACTCCACCAGTCTATGCATAAAAAACAGGGCGTCCATGGACCTTTTATTTTTACTTCTTTAGGTGGGAGCCTCCTTAATATTCCTTTTTATGCTACCGTGGACATGTCTATTTGCCAGGATGCATCAACATGAAGAATTTGGTTGCTAATTAACTATCACCCTAAATTCATGTTCAGTACATGTGCCTTCCAGCCGAAGCACACATTTAGCAATGAAATCCAATTTCAATGTTCGCGCTGCTTTGTGAAAGTCGGCTACTGTTTGCTTTCATGAAGTACTAGTACATACAGAACAGCATACACCCATGAATCTTCAAGCCCGTATGCCTAGCTTCCTACAGTGTTGTGCCTCGACAGATCATAAGTAATGGCCGACAACTTTAAATACGGACCATACAACATGCCTCATTCTTAGCATTATTTTATTCGCTTCAATGGAATTGGGCTTATTGCCCGTTTGGTATTGCGAATTCAAATAAAACAACAACAACAACAACAACAACACGCCTCACAACAGTACATCAAACAGTACAATTGATTATAAAACTTACTGAACTGTCGAAACCCATAGCTTGTTCTATCCCTTCTCGCCGACACGATTCCAGAAATTGAGACGCTCCGTTACAACACGATCACCAGGGTAAAGACAGACTGGTCAACACACGTCTTTATAATGTTGTCGACTATAGACACGGTCCCGCCACAGCCAGGATTCCAGTCGAAACTGGCGGTTAGGATAATGGAGCCAAAAGGATATTGGCGGCAACAGATCACAGATTATCGGGATACCACAAACTCAAAGGATGGAGCGTTGTCGTTATCCAAAATCCTTTCCGCCAATCCTAGCCGCCAAAAAGGTGGCGTAGCGAAACCGCTGGTGAGATCTACTGGTGAAAACGCGGAAACCAGGGAGTAATGATGTTGTACTGACAATCGCTGCTTCAAGTTTTCAAGCAAGCCAAGGAGTCCCTGAGAAGGAGTCCCTGAGCATACTGGTGTCACCCGGTGTAGTAGGCGCGGAGTTGCCTCCCTCCCCGAGGACTTCCCTTCAGCGACGGCGCGACCCAGTACACAATGGGCGCGTAATGTGCTTCTTGTTTCACCAGAGAACAACTACATGGTTGGTCGGTTGTGCTGCTCTGTGCTACAGTCTACTGTATGTAACTCTAACTTAGACTGGCGATACGCAGCTTGGTTGTTTGCCACGCAAGCCGCCATGCATCACTGAGATCTATTTCCCTTCGAATGATATTCCGCCGTCGTGACGGTGGTGTGTCGGATTCGCCAGTTCACGTAGATTGTAGGAGCTTCGTTGGATGCGCCTGTTTGGTACCAGAAATTCTGTACTTGTAGTATCCGACTTCCTTCACCTTGTATTATAAAGTATTAGTCATGCAAGGAATGTGAGAAAATTCTCAATGCAACCAGTACCATCAAAATTGCAAAAGTGCATGAAGAACTCTTGGGGCACGTTTGGTTGGTACGAACCAGGGAGCCCTACACATACCGGTATGTGTAGGGCTCCCTGGTACGAACTAGAACAGGATTCACCAGAGCAGCGCGTTTGGTTGGGACTGCACCTGTTCTGGGTCGGCCAGAACATGTTCTGCTTGCTCCGGCCTCGAGGCCGGAGCAGACCGAGCAGTTTCACTTTTTCACAGTGAAACCTGGCGGGAACATCGATTTTGGTCCCAAATGATCACGTGCATACGCTTTTGGGTTGGACTCGTTGTACCGTACAAAGTGACCATGGTGACCATACACATTTTTGAAGGATGCACCCAGTTTGGCACATTTTACCACAAAAATGTGCTCTGTTTCTGGAGTACCGTTTGGTTGGCATGAGGCTGCTCCTTGTGCACCAGCTGTTCGATCCTGTTCTAGATCGTACCAATCAAACGCACCCTTGGTACCATTCCATGCAATGTTCGATTTTTCGAAAATTCGTACAGTGTGGTTGTACATTATCATGAATTTATCCAGCTCCGATCCAGCCTTGTCTCCAGCCTTGTCTCCAGTTCCGAGATCCTGGGCAGGGACTGCATTGAGAGTTATAGCGCAGAAGTCAGGGAGTCGTATTTTGCAACTCCCTGGTATAAAATACTTCTTATGTTCTCAGGGCGTTGAGGATGGTAGTGCAGAAACTCTTGAATGCCAAGAAAAATGATCTTGCCCGTGCCTTTCTTGCTTTGGTAAACGGATCTCTGAGGCCAGGTGGGCAGAATCTCCCCATGAACACCGCGGACAAAATCCTAAAATTATGCGGGCGAATACAGGTCATTTTGCAATCGGCGAGATTATGCGGTCAGTATATGCAAGTTTGCCTACAGTCAGGTGCACATCTAACGACTTTGTCGTACGAACTCAAGGCCGGTTTCGACTTTGGAGTACATTTTTGCCTTCCTGTACTATTTTCTTGTACATTTCCATGCCCATTGCCCATGCCCGCGCCCCTGGATGACGCAGGTTTTATACAAAAATTCGAAAACGCGGAAAATTGCGCGTCCGCGGAACCGCGTTGTCCTGTTGGGATAGGAAGGCTGGATGGAGAGAGGCGCTCATTTAGAAAAGCGATCCTGTCAGCTATTGTGTTCACATGGCGCTACCTAACATCACCGCTATTCAAACACATTGTCTACGTAGCTACGTAAGTTTCTACGTAAGATGCTCGGTACCTGGCCCTGGACCAGGGAGCTCGTACTCCATGGCTCCTACCATCGCGCGGCCGGCTGGCCGCATGTGTGTGTATCAGGGAGTCGTCAAATACCGACTCCCTGGTGTGTATTGCAGACTTTTTGTTGTTGCCTTTTCGGATGGTTCGGATGTGCATGCACGAGGAACTTCCTTCTTTGGAACTGCTTCTTGCATGAGCTGTTTCGGATATTTCGTCTCCTGGCCTGGCTTATTTCGTTTCGGCGCTGCTGCGACCTCCTTTCGCGGAATATTACTCAATGACAGGTGAGTTGACCAGTTCCCTTTGATTCATTTGCTTGTGTAGACTCTTTCATTCACGAAAAGTGTGCTGATTTTGGGCGGAATGCAATAAATATTGGAAAAGCTGACAGGATCTCTTTTCTAAATTTAGCTTTCCCGCTGCCGAGGCCTCCTTTTACGGAATACTCGATGACAGGTGATCTCTGAGTTGACCAGTTTCCTTCGATTCATTTGCTTATGCTCACCCTTTCAAATTTTACGGAAACATGTGCTGATCTTATTCGGATTTAGATCCATTTTTATCTCTTTGCCCTTGTCTACAGTGTGTGAAGAACGCGAGTTCACCTTCTTGACGGTAAGGCTTATGTTAGATGTGTTGTCAAAATTCATATTCATTGTACATTAGCACGTTACAAGTAAGGCACTGGTCAGTGGCATACTATCGTTGGCAGTTCCCAATCTGAAGGGAAAGGTTCAAGGACCCATTGACCGAGTTTGCAAAATAAATTTGCATATCAGGGAAAATCTCCAGAGTCTGGGCTTTTTGATTCGTGAGTACCGCCGAGATTGCACTGCCCCAAATACAGTTTCGTACCGCCAAAGGAAGAATTACGATCTGCAATCTGTTTGTAGTACCTGCAAGAATCTGGAGTAAATGTATCGTACTTTCTCTGTTGCTGTTTCAGTTGCCGTCATGTTGCTAAAGAAAGGTTCAGTAGAGAGGTTCTGCAAAACGAAAATTCGAACGAAGCTTCGCGACAGTCCTTGCGAAAGTGTGTATGAATTTTTGCATGAACTTTGCGTTCTGCACATTTTCGTAGTTTGCGCGGGCCAAGTGCACGTACGTCATGACCTGATCTCACGAAATTTCCTACGACACTTCATTTCGTGCTCCCTGCAAGTTTCGCACGTCATGACGTAGAGCGAAAGTTTGTACGCATTTTCGTTTTGCAGAACCTCTCCAGCTGTGACTCACTTGTTTCATACGAGACGAGTCAATGAGTCGGTGTGGCTTCGAATCTTTCGCTGCAGAAGAAATCTATTCGTATGTCTATTGGAGAAAGAATTGTATTCACTGGTTATAAAATAGGTTAAGAATAAATACCATCGGTCCCTTGGTGTTCGTCCTAAAGAGGTTCGACTGGATATCATTCATACTCACCAAAAGATGTGTAAGATTTTATTATTGTGGAGTGCCTTGTTTATCTCTCAGTACCTCCAACCATAGCCTTGCCCCTTTTATCCTCAGGATCAGTGTAGTTGTTGGAACGAGGTGTCGGACTCAGCAATGTATTTGTTTACATTTTAATACATGTTTATTGTTCCTCCTTTGCTGTGTTGTTTTAGAAAATCGTGGATTAACAGTTTTAAGTCATTGAACTACTCCCAAAAGTTGTATCGACATCAACAGGATTACCATTTCAGTGCATGCAGGATGACCTTATCACGATAACCCATAATTATAAACCATTATAAACACAGAATCAACAAAAACATCTGCGACACGCACCTGGCTACATTTCTCAAATAAATCTGATCGAGGGTGGGGAAATCTGAAATTTCTGAAAGGCAAGACAATTTTAGAGTCATGAAATTCTGCAACAGCAAGCTGCAACACGCACAGAATGACCTCCGTATATAAAAGTATCGCCACCACCAGACCACTACTCACATGTCGTGTTTCCCCGCAGAAGAACATGCAATTGCATTATGCTAGTGCCATTTTCTGCAAGAAAAGGCTTGCACATCAATGCGTATAATCAAGAGTACATAAACCAGAGTGTGCAACTCGGGATGGTTCCTGTGGGAGCGTAATTCGTGCACTACGTCATTTCTGACGGCATGGTAAGCCACAGATACGGTGAAAAGTTGCGTAACCAGTCGCGGTGGTGCAGTTCACTGAGTTTGTCCTGATTTTTTTTTTTTTTTTTTTTCCGGGGGCTGATTTATCCTGAGTAAAATCAGTGAACATGTCATGAAAATAAATCCGAGAAGAAAGAAAAAGGCCCAACCCTGCCCTGCCAGTTATTTGGACTTACGGGGGTCGCCATGGCAAATAATAAACATAAAACTGCACACGTTCGGGCTCTCCTGATTTCGGTTTTTTGAGACGGATAGCCTGGTGACTTTACTTGTCGGTGGATGTACGCAGCGTACACAGTCACACAAAACACCGAAATCCTGTAACAGGACGTCTAAAATCAAGCAAACTTGGCTGATTTCCGGGCTATGAAACATGAAAATTTGAGCTGTACGCAAGTCGCGGCTTGGCTGATCTCATCAGGGTGACGTAGTGCACGAACTGCGCTGTTTCAAATCCGATATGCACAGTTGCACACTCTGGTTTATGTACTCTTGGTATAATACGGTATTGATATGATGTTGCCATGGACAAATGCGGAAAATGCGAAAAAATATTTCAAAAAGTCCTACGGAGAACCCAACATGACATAGGAAAGTGGCATCTGGGGTGGCCGGTTTGAGCGCACCTTCATCGATGTGAGGGTTTTCAATCCTCATGCGACCTCAAACCGCGCCACCTCCATTGCTTCCTGCTACACCAAGCACGAGAAGGAGAAGCGGCGCTGCTACGAGCAACGTGTCCGCGACATAGAGCATTCGTCGTTTGTTCCGGCCATATTCTCTACCACTGGTGGTTTGGGCAAACACGCGGAGTCGCTCTACAAGCGGATAGCTTCTCTTCAAGCCGCGAAGACTGGAGAAGCATACAGCTGTGTTATGTCTTGGGTTCGATGCAAATTGAGTTTTGCCCTACTCCGGTCCAGCGTGATGTGTTTGCGCGGATCCCGGA